GCCCGCGGCTTTGTCTCTGCCGCCCGAACTTGCGGCGACTCAAACTTAGCGACGGTGCCGGGGACACAGTGTAAATCGAGTCTGGAGTGGGGGGAAGATAAGGAGCCTAGAACGCGTAGGTTTCCCTGGCTCCCGCTGGGACGCCGCGAATCCACTCCCGCCGGGAGGCTCCGGAGCACTCTTCCAATGGGGTGGGGGAGGGCGCGGGGAGGTGTGTCTCCAGGCAGACGGGAAAGTGAAATCCTTACTTGTTTCTGGTCGCCTCCGGTGGCGGAATGAATGGGGCTGGGGAGCAGTGAAGAGCGAGGCAGATATGTTCTGAAGCTTTCCCGGGGCGCCGTGAAATGTCTGCTGGCTTCTCCGGAGGGTCTGTTTTCCGGCCGTGTTTTTACTGCATTTAGAGATCTAATCTTGCATTTCTGGCTGAGGCGGCGGCGGCGGACTGCATCTCCCAGCCAAGCGTATTTTTTCTCTCTCTCTCTCTCTCTCTCTCCTTTCCGAGCAGCCGAAGGGAGGGGAGGAAATGCAGTGCAAAGAACTAGTGTCCCGATTTGTAGTTTCCTCCCTCCGCCAGGCTCCTCCCTCTCTTCCTCCGAAAAGGCTCTCCCCCAAAGTCCGGAAAGCCACAGCCTGATCCGCGTTCGCGGTGTGAAGTCTACGGGGAGGGTGGGGTGGGGGGAGGGAGGGGTGTATCGAGGTATCTCCGCCTCCGTTCGGACGACACACACTCTGATTTCTCTGCGAGAAGCCAGGAGCCGCCGCTACCATCCCATTCTCTCCCGGCGAGCCAGGACTTCTCTCGCTGCAGTTTAATTCCAGTTTGCGTGGCTTCTCGGGCGAAAGGAAATCAACAGGCAACTCATGGTTGGATGTGCAGCTTCGGCGGGGGGAGGGGGCGGAGGCGGAATGGAAAGGAAGGGGGAGCCACCTCCCAGCCCTCGCGCACACACACACACACGCTCCCTGTCTCTCGCTAGAAGGGAAACAGTCTCTGCATTCACAAGGCTGGACCGTCAAGTGCCTCTCTTTTCTTCCTATTCAGCATCTCCTTCCAATGGCCCTGCCTCCCGGCCCTCGTCATCTAGAAAGGAAAGGCTTGGCGAGGAATAAAAGTGGTGAACATTTGAAGCGAATAAAGTGCGGGTCTTTTTTTTTTTTCCCCTCCTTCCAAAAAAAAAATATTTTTAATAGTAGGAACGAGCTGGATGGAAGAAACACATCAAGGGCTGGCGCGATGCAGTCTGCAGTCTGGCTCTCGGGCTCTGGGGGGCTCGGGG